AGCAGTTGTGGTGAATTAATTTGTTTAACATTTGTTAAGACATATAATAATAGCGATAAATGATTGCTTTGTGCGAAAGAGAGCATGAATTCAAACAACAGAAGACTTAAACGTCAGATGAGAGAGAATCAGAACCAAACTGTTTGTGTCAGTAATGCAACCAATTCTCGATCGCCTAATGATTTGAAGTCCAGAATATTTATAGGAAATCTCAACACAAGTGTTATCACGAAAAGACATTTGCATTTGATTTTTGTTCAATTCGGCGAAATTAAAGCCATATCCATGCATAAGGGTATCAATACTTTGCATATTTTATACGTATATTTAAATATTTTCTTAATAAATATTATTCTAAGGAATATTTGTATTATAAATATTATTCTTATGAACCCATAGGCTATGCATTCATCCAATACGACGACCAAATGGATGCTCTCAACGCTGTCTTATCACAAGACGGACAGATGATTGCCGGACAGGCTATTGGTTTGTATATAATTCCTATTATCTTATAGCTGACATTTTGATGTAATAATAAGCTTTACTGTATTTACGAGTTAAAACTCAGTTCAACTCAGTTTAAATTGTTAATCAAATATAGCAACACTTGAATATTTTAACGAAATATAAAACATATTTCTAATTTGATTGATTTGGTTAAGAGATTAACTTTACTATTGAGCCGAAACTTTATCACATGACTTTTCATAGTTACGAATAAGTTATATATAATTTTGTTTGAAATGATTATAAAGATATTAAAAATATTTATTATATAAAGTATTTCTTAAAACTTATCTACTTTTATATCAAATGCTAATATATTCGCAAAGATTTCTTTTTTATATTAACTTAAATGAATGTTTGAAACAAAATATTCTTTCATAACATTTATTGACAAAGAATTATCACATTTTATATTTACTGTACATATTATAGTACAGTATAGACTCTATACTAAGGCTTTGAGAGTACTTAACGATAACAACTGCTTGTATTGAGTATTAAGTAACAAATGCTAACAATAATTGGCATTTATTTAAAATAAAGTCATTAAAAATGATTTTATGATAGTTTAAAAAGCAATGTTGAAGTGTATATCACTTGTAACTAAAGAGCCGATTGTTTATTCTCTTTTGTAAATCAGATGTCAATCTCGTTACTGAACCAAAACCACATCAAAAGTCTAGTAAAACCTCAACAGTCAGTAATGGGAGCGAAACGAGTGGTGAACACACTTTAGAGACTAATTCTATAGAGAATTGCGCTGAGAGTGACATTAATTATACCGCTTTTGGGAACT